TGAAGTCGGCAGGAGACAGCGTCAAACTCCACAGCGCCGTCTGGGGTCCCTTCGTTGTTGGAGGGCCCGCAAGTGCAGAGCGTAAAGCGCATCAGAGTTGCGGCAGGACTTGTATTCCGCCATGCGTGGCGGAAGAACACCACCCGGGCCCCAATCATCCACCCTGGCGGGGGGGGAGAGGCGGGGACGGGGAGAGGGTGAGAGATGGAGAGTGGGCACGAGACGGGCCGAGAGGGAGCGGGTGGTGGACAGGGCGCCCGAGACTTGTCTCTGCTTGGTGGCCCACTGCTCACCGCGATGTAGCAGGCGTGGCACTTAGGCACCTGAAGTGGGAGCCGCCCAGGGTGATGCCACTCGCCCGTTCGCTTTCAGATAGTGGGGATGTCTCAGGCGGTTCGCTTTGGTTGTCCCCTGCTCACCGCGCTGTAGTAGGCGTGGCATCTAGGCGCCCCAAGGATGAGCCGCCAAGGTTGATGACACTCACCCCTTCGCACCCGGATTGCGGGGATGTCTCAGGCAGTTTGCCTGTTCCTGCCCCCCAGACTTGTCTCTGTTGGTGGTTCACTGCTCACCGCGATGTAGCAAGCGTGGCATTTAGGCACCCCAACGACGAGCCGCCACGGATGATGACGCCCGCCCCTTCGCGCCCAGATCGCGGGAATGTCTGAGGCGGTTTGCGGGTTTCTCCCCCCCCAGATTTCTCTTTGGATTTGCGTGGTCCTCATTAGTTCACTCACCTCCTCCTCCTCCTCGTCCTCCTCCTCCTCCTTGTCCTCTTCCTCATTCAGACGCACCCATTCACATTCAGACTTAATCGCCAGTCGTACCCAGCCAGGCTCCCTCCCATTGACATCCGTATTCATCACACACACAAACACTCGGAGTCATTCACACCCATACTCACTCGCACCTAGAACCTCTCGCAGTCAGACTCGCTCGCACTCGGACTCCATCATAGCCAGATTCACTCGCATGCCGACTCTCCCACACTCAGATTAGCTCGCCACTAGGGCTCACGCGCAGGCGGCTATCGCGATAAAGCCAGCGTTGCGCGTGGGCACGCCAAACGCCAACAGGCGCAGCGAGTAGAATGGTAGAGAGCCCCATAGGGACTCCACCGAAGGACACCAATGCCACCGCCCGCATGCGTCGCACACACCCATTTCGGCACACACACACACACACACACACACACACCTCACACGCTTTGTGGCCCCATAGGGAACTCCACCGAAGGCCCCAGTGCCACCGCCCGCAAGCGTCACGCACACACTCTCCTCACGCGCTTCGTGGCGCTCCACCGACGGCAACAGCGCCACCGCCTGCATGCGTCACGCACACCCATTCCGGCACACCTCTCACACGTTTCGCGACCCGATAAAGAGAGCTCCACCGAAGGCCCCAGCGCCACCCACGCGTCGCGCACACCCATGTCGGCACACCCTTCACATGTTTCGTGGCCCCATCGGGAGCTCCACCGAAGGCCCCAGTGCCACCGCCCGCATGCGTCACGCACACCTATTTCGGCACACCCCTCACACGTTTCGCGGCCCCATAGGGAGTTCCACCGAAGGCCCCAGTGCCACCGCCCGCATGCGTCACGCACACTCATTTCGGCACACACACACACACACACACACACACACACTTCACACGTTTCGTGGCCCCATAGGGATCTCCACCGAAGGCCCCAGTGCCACCGCCCGCATGCGTCACGCACACTCATTTCGGCACACCTCTCACACGTTTCGTGGCTCCATCGGGAGCTCCACCCAAGGCCCCAGAGCCACCGCCCGCATGCGTCACGCACACCCATTTCGGCACACCCCTCACACGTTTCGTGGCCCCTTAGGGAGCTCCACCGAAGGCCCCAGCGCCACCGCCCGCATGCGTCACGCACACCCATGTCGGCAAACCCCTCACACGCTTCGTGGCCCCATAGGGATCTCCACCGAAGGCCCCAGTGCCACCGCCCGCATGCGTCACGCACACCAATTTCGACACACCCCTCACACGCTTCGTGGCCTCATAGGGAGCTCCACCGAAGGCCCCAGTGCCACCGCCCGCATGCGTCACGCACACCCATTCCGGCACACCCCTCACACGTTTCCACCGATGGCCCCAGTGGCTGCTTTCGCATGCGCCCACAGGACAAATTTTGGTACACCCCCTCAAACGTTTCGTGGCCCTTCAGGGAGCTCCTCCGAATACGGTGCATACAACGACGGTGCTCACATTTGCATATGGTTGGGGCACTCGCCAGGCGAATTCTTTTAAAGTCCGCCTGTAGGAGGACATGCCCGACCTAATCCTAAAGGCTTGATTCGGGCCCGCGGACCAGCAGAGTCGATCCCAGGATGCAAGACACCGTCTCCGGGAACGGGTCGAGAGGTACGGGGCCACGTATCAACAAGACCACGACGTCGGAGGTCGGGGCAAGGGGAAAGGAAAGAAGCGAGAAGAAGAGGGGGCCAGAGGGGCGGCGGAGGAGTTGTCAGTCCCACATTAAGGTTCGAGCATCTTCGAGCGCACGTTTCATTGGAGCGTGAAGCAGGGGGTGCTACGGTGTCTGCAGAATGGGTGCTGCTGGCGTGTGAGGACAGCTCTGCACGTCCAGTCACGCAGGTAGTGTTACCAATGTCACCATCATTATCTTCAGGCCCACCCGTGGCCAGAACAGTCTGCATGCACGTAAGGCGTCAGCCATAGCGCGTCGATGTTCAGAACATGTTGGCCACACGCAGGAGGAAGGAGCATCTACGGCAACAAGTTCGAGGATGAGAATTTCGACCTGAACCACACTAAGCCCGGTCTCTTGAGCATGGCAAACGCTGGCCCGAACACTAATGGTTCAGAGGGTCTCTATGTGTCTTCCGGTTGTCCCTTGCGATTTACCATCAGAACTAAAGGTTGGTTGTTAACATTGGTCACATGTGTTTGTCTTGGTCTTACGATCTCCCCGCCAGTGTGAAATCTATGCCGCCATGATTGAATCAGATTTGTGCTGGATTGCATGCGTGATTGTGTTAATGCATCTCACGCGTTTATGATTGTCATGCCGCCAATGTGCGTTGATACGTCGCCGGCCAAAAATATTGACGCCGACATGGTTACAGTCGTGGTGCGTACATTGCAGCTGCAAGTGGCGGTATCATTCAGAACAATCATTTATGCTATTATTGCATGCTATTGATGTCGTTGTTGTTGCGGCGGTTCGTGCTGCATCGCTTGATGGTGCATCTGCTGGTGCTTTCATTATCGGTCTTGATCGTCGTGGCATCTTCTTGTTGGAAATCGGCTCGATGCCGCCATTCAGTCGTCAGCGTCCGGCATTCAGTCTTGAGCGTCTGTCACTCGGCGCCCGCAATTCAATCTTGAGCATCTTGAAATCTCAGTTGGGAATGCTGCCCGTCTGGTGTGTCTTTAGTCCCCCCTGCTGCACGCCGTCGCCTCATGACTTATCGGGCAGAGCTCCACTAAGTTTTCAAGTTCCTCTTAGCTGCTGAGGAAAGAAAGAAGCAAACACCAAATTGAATCGAAGACGCCTACGGCGAATCACCGCCGCCCCCTGCCTTTGTGGAAGCGCCTATGTGGCCGAACGTTGAGGCCAGACCTGCCAAGCCATCGGACCATGTGTTCCCCGAATCGGTTTGGAAAGCCTTCGGGGAACACGTGGGCGTCTTGATGGTCATCGTCGCCGTCTTGGAGGCCTCTTGGGCGATCTTTCGGCGATCTTTGGGGGCTCTTGGGCCGTCTCGGGCCGTCGGAAGGCCGAAAAAAGGGAAATGCCCAAATCCATCAAAAACCTTGGGAAAATCAGTGATTTTGGCATCTTTTGGCCTTCCTGGAGGCCCTCTTGGGGGCCTCTTGGGCCCTTTTGGGCCAGCTTCGAGCCAACTTCGGCCATCTTGGTGGGTTCCTGGCACGTCTGACGCCGTCGGGAGCCGTTTTGGGGGGCCTTTATGGGCCGACTTGGGGCCCGCTTGGAATGCTCCAGGGCCGTCTTGGAGGCCATCTTGGGCGTCTGGGAGGCCATCTTGGGCGTGTTGGAGGCCTCTTGGGCCCTCTTGGGGCCCTCTAGGGGCCATCTTGGAGGCCACTTGGGCCATCATGGGGCTCTCTTGGGGGCCTCTTGGGCGATCTTGGGGGCTTCTTGGGCCGTCTTGAGCCGTCGGAGAGCCGAAAAGGCGCAAATGCCAAAATCCTTCAAAAACCAAGGGAAAATCAATGATTTTGGCCTCTTCGGACTCTCCTGGAGGACCTCTTGGAGGCCTCTTGGGCCGTCTGGGAGGCCTCTGGGGGGCCTCTTGGGCCGTCTTGGGCCGTCTTGGACTCTCTTGGGCCGTTTTGGAGGCCGTCTTGGACCATCTCGGGCGGACTTGGAGGCCATCTTGGGCCATCTTCGCGATTTTTTGAGGATGTCCCGAGCGAAACGGCCGTTTTTTGGAGGATTTGTTCCGGTCGTTGAGCACGTTTGGGGGCTTTCCGGGTGGCCGGCGGGTTCTGCCGGAGCCCACTGGGGAGTTCTTTTGGAAAAAGAACCAAAACCAAAACCTGAAACATCCAGCACGCCGTCCAGCACGCCGTGCACCCCTGCAAGCAGGGGGCGGCGGATCTAGTGGCCTTCGGCCCATCCCGCCACCGTGCGTGGGTTGTGGGTTAGAGGCTTCTTGGATGTTCGTTTGGATATCGTGGGAGGCCTCTCGGGGCCTCTTGAAGGCAGTCTTGAGCCCTTTGGGGGGGCGTTTGGGGGGCTCTGTTTGGGCCTCGTGGGGCCTCTAGGGGGCTGCTTGGGCTCTCTTGGGGCTCCTTGGGGCCTCTTGGTGGCCTTTTGGGGCCGACGGGTCGAATTGTCGGTTCGTGTCCGCTCTCTTGGGCCCCTCTTGTGGCAGTTTTGGGGCCTTATTGGTCGATCTTGGGCGCCTTTTGGACAGCTTTGGTGCCTTATTGGGCCGTCGTGGGGCCCTCCTGGGGGCCCCTTGGCCTGTTTTGGTGCGGTCTTGGGGGCCTCTGGGGTAATCTTGGAGCGTCGGAAGCCCGAAAACGTGAAAACGCGAAAAACATCGAAACGCATACGGGAAATCAATGAGCGTTGTCTCTTTGACCCTTTTAGGGGGTCCCCTTGGAGCGCTCTTGGGGCTTCTTTGGGGCCTCTTGGGCTGTCTTGAGGCCTTCTTAGGCGTCTTGGAGCGCTCTTGGGCTGTCTTGGAGGTCTCTCGGGCGCTTCTCGGGCTCCTCAGGGCCCGTCCTGGGGCCCGCTGGCCTCTGGAAAAGGCACGCAGAGGAGCCCAGGAGTGCGCGGGAGCGCCCAGGAAACTTCTTGTACCAGCAGATCTGAGAGACCGGGTGGCTTGGCAGTCCGCTGTCTGCCGCCATTGCATGTAGAGTTGTGTCCACGCGCTTGGGCGTCAGACTTTTGCGTTGCGTTGCGTTTCTTAGAATACTAGTGCCCCCCAGTCCTGAGCGCAGAGAACAGGAAACACATGGCCTGGGGGTAACTACACCTCGTGCCTCGAGGCAGGGTGGCGGATTGGCGCACCCCGCACGAGTGGACGAGCCCAGCCGTTTACGTGGATTTGAGGACTTGGGCAATTATGGTATGGGCTTTCCCGTGTGGAGGTGTTCAAACACTGTTGCATAACGAGTGCAAGTCAGTGTACAGATCAGCTCCGAGAGTGAGAAACCCGTCGATATCGAGGCAATGTTGTCGATATGTTTGTTCGGGAAGCGGGCCACGATGCATATGTGTTGCAGCATCGTGTAGTCAAGTGATCGGCCAGTGCAGCATGGCAAACCAGTTTGCGTCATGGCCTTTGCTTTGTCATGGTCCCCCAGCGAGTTCTTCAGGCACGACATATACAGTGTAACGTATAAGACATTTAAAGCACGATCGTTTTGTTGTCGGAGCGCTGCAAGGCGAGTTGTTCGACATTTGCCGTGTGCAGAATACGTGGACCTTTCTTGCTCGAGGGGAACCTATTCGCTCGACTGAATACAAGCGAGCCGCGGCCTTTGTTCTTCCCAGGAATACCCGTTTCACCGGGCCGCTGGGTAAATCGAGGATCGTGGGAAGTCAAAGAATGGAAGTACACAGCTTCACGTGGGACTCCCAGATGTCAACGTTACATTTTGGGCAGACGCCCCCCCCCAGGTCATGCCATAGCATTGTGTGGTTCTCGATGGGATAGCAGTACGCTCCCCCTGGAAGTTTTAGTGGGCGCACCTGCGGTCCCCATAGGCCCCACCATGTCTCAAATCCGAAACAAGCATGGAGTAATCATATAGGCTCGCGCACCTCTCCAGGGAGTGGCGTTTGCGCACCAACCACCTCTGCTTGTGCCAGCGCTGATTATATTACGGCATCTGCATGATGAGTGATGTGCTGCCAGCAGAGGAGGTCTCGGTCAGCACATCTGCCCTGGACAAATATTGAGTGGGCCCTGGACAAATATTGAGTGGCAAATGCCTCCACTTGTGTAGCAAACATTGGGTTGCAAACACTGGGTGGCAACAAGTATGCGGCCGATGTCTCTAGGTTTTGTCTGACGGTGGGAAGCCGCTTGACGAAGTCATCTTCTATCTTGTTTCTGCAGGAACTCCGCTGCCCCGAAGGGCTACGCGTTGGTTTATAACAGAGCCGGGTATGCCAGAGTCGTGCGCATGGCCTATCGCCTCTTCGGTCGGCTCAAGATTGGTATATCCCAACACGGGTGGATATCACAATCCATGTTCTAGTGGGCGTCAGTCGGCAACGATGCCTCGCACAAGTCCCGTCGAACGTGTGAAAGACTATAGTCTTTGTTGCGTACCAGGAACAGTACAAGTGCCTTTTGATGGTGGAACTGTTTTTGGTGTCGCCGATGTTATTCGTTTTGCCAGACCATTATGTATTGGTATGGTCATGAACGTCTCATCCGTCGTTCACATCGCCACATGTATCGTTAAAGTGTCTCGTTTGTTTCCTCGTCCTCGTGGTGCCTAAGGTTCCCAATTCTTCATCACCACAGCCGCAACGGACTGGCTCAACGGCAAACACGTGGTCTTCGGCGAGGTCGATGCGGCTCTGGGGAAGAGGGAGCGGAATCCACGATGGTTGAGTCAATGGCGATGGCTACAACGGTGTGTGCGTGTGGTGTTGAAGGTCATGCGAGTTCCCATCTCCCCAATGTTCAAATCACATGTTTCATCTGCTTGCCATGTGGTGTGTCTATCTTGGCCCGCTAAATCGCAAGAGGCTGCGGTGGATTGTGCCATGCGTGCTTGTGGCCTTTCGCAGGCCTCATCCGCCACGGGCACGCACGCTTATGCAAGTGCAAGGCGCGAGATTTGGGAAAGGATTGGCCTTGCCTCCTCCTGCTAGAAACCTTTCAACGAGTCGACAGATCGAGAGGCGTGAGGCGGATGATTCTCTCGAGATCGTGTCTTTTCGAGGTCGTCGAGGGCATGGATGTGCTGCAGAAGATGGAGAGCATGGGCAGCCAGAGCGGCCGCACGATGCAGGACTTGGTGGCGAGCAGGGGGGCGGTGGCCAGTTTGCGGAAGTGGCTCCGAGTCGTATCTCGAGTTGCGGCTTGGTGGTCCACCTTGGCGCCCCGATCGCGTTTGTTGGGGGGCCCCTGGTCTGGGTTCTCAGATACCCATGCGCTGCGAGAGCAAACGCGAGTTGGAAAGTATGGTTCTCCTGGAGCCGCCATTTGATCTTGAGGCCAGAGGGTAGCCCTCGACGATGGAAATCTGTCCCAAGGGTGGGGTCGAAAGATCCATGACCCGCGCCACGGAGGAGAAACATAGCACACAACCAACAACACTGTTTTACACGACGCTGTCCTCCTCCTCCTCCTCCTCTTCCTCCTCCTCCTCTTCCTCTTCCTGATCCTCCCCCTCCCCCCCCCTCTCCTCCCCCTCCTCCTCCTCCTCCTCCGATGGGTTGCTGACGACGCCCCACTGCTTCCTCGCTCGGCCCCTCTGCCCTCGGCATTCCCACCCATCCTTTGAATTTAATGTGGTTCTCGTTTCAGTGCCGCACACCTTCGTTTTGAAAGCTTTCAGAAACAATCAGGGATGGAGGGCGGCCCATTTTCAAAATGTGAGTATCGCCTGAGTGCCGCGCACATACGTTTTACAATCTTGCGTAAGGTTCACGGATTGAGGAGGTTCCTTCTCAACACATGTGGCTCTCACCTCAGCGCAGCGCACATTCGTCTCACCAGTTTGCAGCAGTTCCGCACAGTCTCATTGCTCACGTCGCAAGGGCGCAACAGTCACGTTGATTCGCGGTGTTGAAGTCCCAGCAATGGTATTCTGGCAGACCAAAGATCGTCAAGACTCAACAGGAACAGTGTTTCACGGGGTTGAAGTCCCAGAAATGGCGTTCTGGTGCAACTCCAGATTTTTACACGGTGGTCTTCCAATGGGGCATTTTTCTTTCAGTAAGAATGAATCCGTGTAGGAGCCTATGAAGAGGGAGTTTGGAGGGAGTGTCTCTTGCAATATCGTCGATGAGTCTTGGTTGTACATTGGTTTCCATGACTCGTTTCCTATTGCTAGCCTGGGGACTGGTGCTTCTGGAGGGCGGCCCAGAGGCTTCCCCCAACGGTCGTCCCTCTTTAAGCCAAGAGGATTTCCCCAGCGAAGCCTCTGGTAGGCGTTCTCAGGCGCAACACAGGGCCACTCCAGATTACAAGACTGCTGACAGGAGTAGTCGGTTTTTCCCATAGGGTTTCAGACACGAAACTATGGCTCGCAAGTGGTCTTGTCTTGTCTTGTCCTCGTTTTTCTCCTCCTCCGCGGGGGCCTCTGCCGAGCCCCCCGCTGGCTGGGGAGGGGCGGGACCCCAGCCCCCGCCTGGGCCACGACGGGGGCGAGGCGGTGGTGGAGGCGCCCGCGCACGGCAGCAGGGTCGAGAGGTGCGGGGATGCTTTCCGCCGTGCTCGGGCAGGAGCAGGAGCAGGAGGAGTTTTGTGCTGGTGGGGCCAAGGGGTGCAGTCGAGACTAGCAGCCAGCGGCCTCGCGCTTAGGGCGCGAACAGGTGGCTGACGGGCACCTCCCAGGGGGGAGAAGAGGAGGAAGAGGGAAGACGAGTGCCACCGTCAGGAAAAACACAAAACTAAAACGGGAGCGGACCCAGGGCCGACCGCGCCTCAAGCTTCATCCTCATCCTCGGAACCAGGAAGGACCTCCAGGCCCTTAAATTTGTGGTCGAGGGCGAATGAGCCAAAGGGGGTGGGGCGGGGTCCGACTCCCGAGACCCGAAGCTCGATCCCACTGCGGGGGTGGCAGCCGCGCCACAGCTTACGCAGGCGGTCCCACGCCACGGACCCACGCGGGCAGCTTCCACGGCAACTTTGACCGAGCTTCTGGGTGTTGTGTTCACTGCAGGCGCCACAAACACTACAGAACACGAAAGGGCCCACCGTCCAAACGCGGTGGCCCACTCCTGGCTTGCAGGGGGTGGCTTTCAAAATCTGGACCGTGCCTCCCGAGCGCAGGCACTTGATGCACCTGGAGCCACCCTTGGGAAACCAGACAGGGTCGTGGGAGCCCTCGGGAGGCACAGCATCGTCCGAGAGCCGAGGGACGATTCGCCGCCCCCTCTTGAGCCCCACCTCACGGCGGGAGGCGGACGCCAGGCCTGGCCCCGCTCCACGGATGGTCCTGGCCAGGTACTTTCCAACATACTGGACCAACCTAAAAGAACGGATCACACGATCCTCGGCAACCTGATCGGAGGGGTGGAGGCCGACGCCAGCACGCGCCGCCTCATCAGCAGCCTTGTTGCCGAGTCGCCGCCATCTCGCTCCCTCGTCAAGGTCATCATCGCGCCCTCGCGCATGACCCTTGACCTTGGTGACCACGATCTCACCCCCCAGGTCGCACACGCGGTCCCAAACCCCCTCCCATAAGTCGGTACAAGCGTGCATGGCTCCTGTAGTCTCGCAGCGACCCTTGCGGAAGCTCGAGACCACCCAGTCACAATCAGAGAGGTATTCGTAAGGGCCGAGACCGACATTATCAAGATACATCTTGAAAGCGAACAATTCGGCCACCTCTGAGCTCTGGTTTAAACCTGGGAGGGGGCCGCACAGCGAGGCCAGAACGTCCAAACCACTCGAATTCACCTGGGCCACCCCCCATCCAGCCCTGCGCAGCCTGGGGTCCGTGGCCACAAGAGAACTACACGAGCCATCGCCGAAGCATGGGCCTTCAAAGGCCCCCGTGGGAGGACGCACACGCCAGTGAACGAGCAGATCCATCGTGGGACGAGGGAGCCAGGGTCGAGGGTCAGCCACGAGGCCGTGGCACCAGAGGGGCCAATCGGGATGGTTCAAAGCTCCCTCTCGGAGAGAGGGCGGCACTAGGTAATCGCGTCGGAAAGCCCAAGTGCACGCACAGTCCCCCCAACACCAGTGACCCACCGTCCCAGGCGCCTCCCCGCAGAGCGAGCACATTGGGCTATCCCTTAGGCCAGCACTGTGCAGCCGCTCATCCCCCCAGAACCCATTGGCAGCCAGACACCGAACCGTAGCCTTATGCATGCCGGTCCAGTCGTCGTCAGTGCGCCTGGACACGAGGGCCTTGAGAGGGGCGAGGTAGGGGCCGTGGGAGAGGGACTGGAGGTAGTCTTCTTCACAGCGGGCCTTGTCGAGGAGCCATGCCTCGACCCCCCACTGGGCAACCATCCTCACGGTACGGGGGCATTCACGACACAGATCAAGCATTACACCATCAGCCGTACAGAGCTTCCCCACGCCAGTTCCAAGAGTCCACCCAATCCTGAAACAAGAGGCCAGCGCAGCCGAGACGGGGCCCACGACCTTACTCCACGGCGTGCGGGCCTCACGAAGGGACTTATCCGCGTTGAAGAGCACGCGGCAGAGGATCTCCCGAGGCATCCAAGAGTCCTAGAAGGCCTGTGCAAGCATCATGATGGGGTTCACCGTGCAGGGGTAGGCGGGGTCGACAGCCGTGGTATCTCCAGGAACCAACGCCAGATCGATGGTGAGGGATCTGCGAGCCGTGTGGGGGGCCAGGGCAGCCCGTGCAGCCCTCCTGAGGGCCATCACACCGCTCCAGGACCTCCAAGTGACCCCATCGCCCCAAGTTCCAGCAGGGACGAGCCCCATGCTGACAAGCTGCTTGCATGTACCCCTGGCCCTGCGGAGTGCCCTGATTTTTACACTGCGCCGTATTACCTTGCCCAGGCGCCCCGGCCGCGTCTGCATGCCGTGCCGCTTGCCGCAACTGTAGTCGCAGCCCAGGTTGCGCGTCGACTGGTCTCTGGCCTGTACGAGCGAGGGGCAGCGCTTGCCGAGGTCCACTCTGGCCTGGTAATCGTTGCCGACGAGCTTGCCCTTCTTCTCGTTCAGCAGCAGCTCGGCGTCTTGCAGGGCACCCCTTGCTTGGCGATATGCCTTGCTGAGCTGCTGCACCACAGTGGCCCTCGCGCCTGTGGCCTGCATCTGGATATCGTCGACCACGTTGCCGACTGAAATCCCAGGTAGCACTACCAGGTCGTCCAGAATGGGAATGAGAAATGTGCGCATCATCAGATCTGCGAAGGAGCATCCAGCCACCACGCCGCGCATGGGCGTCATCAGGTCGAACACCATGCCTTCACACGGGAGGAGCCTGGGCATGGCGTACAGTTTGATCAGCAGCCGTAGCAAGCACATGTTGAACCCAAGTTCGTTGGCTCGAGCAGTCAGACGATGCCAGCTGATATACTCGTATGCTTTGGACAGGTCCAGCAAGATGGACAAGCAGGTCTTACCACTATACGTAGCCCACTCGCCCGCGGCAGTTTGCCGCCATACGCATGCCTCACAGCTCTGACCCTCAGTGCCGAAGATGTAGCTGCGCTTGTTCTTGTCCGACCACTGCGCGCCTACCGTGGCCCGCAGGAACCGTGTCAGCGGCCTCACCGTGCCAGGGAAGATGCCGATCGTGCGCCGTCCACCGTCAGGTTTCGGCAGAAGCGCTTCTCGCATAACACGAATTGGGGCCGGGACATGGCCAAGCTGCAGCATCGAACTCCAGAGCGTCAGCAGTGCTTGAAGAGCCTCATCACTGAGAAAAATCATGTGGCGAGGGTGAACAACGTCACAGTCCAGCCCAGTGTCTGACTTGAAGGTGTGCGCCGTCTTCCGAAGGTCGTCGATCGTCGGCAGCTCAATCACTCCGATGTCGTCGGGCCAAGATACTGCCCCGATGCCCTCGCCATGTCCCCATAGGTCGTGCCAGGGTTGAACAGCGTCACGTGCCTCGTCCGCGATAGACTTGGCGACGCCTGGCCCTGCCGTTGCATTGGTGCACGCCCACGGGGCATCCTGTTTGATCCACTTGAAGGCGCGCCGCATGCCGCCGTCGGTGGTGGAGTCGTGGGACCAATCCACCCACGCCTTGTAGCGCCGATATGAGGCTTGGCTAGCCGCACGGTCGGCGCACTTTTCCAAGTCATGCATCAAGTGGTCGAGGTCATCCTCGCTGAGACGGTCCAGTCG